AACTCATAGCTCTTTTATTACAATCTTTTCCCCACATAAACAGACGTGCATCTCTTCTCAGAATCAATGCATTGAGTAATAACCTTGTGTCTGGAAAAACACCCTAAAAGCAGCAGAGATGCTGCATTGTGCACCGGCGCACAAAGGCTTCCTTTCATGCCTCGGCGTGTCACGGGCCAAGTCACGTCAAATAGATTCTACGTGGCATCCATCTTCACGATCTTCTGACCGCTATCGATTTTAGAGGTGAGCAAAACAACGCCACGGGAAATCAATTTGATATTCGACATCTGAGCGTCATGAGGTAGCACAGGAGCGCTTTGAGGAAACCTGGAAATTAAGTGCAGCTAAAAGAGAGTGATACAGTGTTGTATGAATGCAAGTGAACTATTAGGGATGGCTGTGCTGTCACATCTGAGGTGAAACTGCGATGCTACTCTCCTGCCTTCCATCACATATCGAGAGTCTTTGTGCAAACGGGACCAGGCATCAGTTAAACTAAAAGGGAATTAACTAAATTTTTCTTTGGTGCATGTCCAAACCCGATTTCAGGAATCCCACATCTCGTACTTACAGTTGATGTGACATTTTAATAAAGCCACAGGCGAGGAGCAGAGACACTACCAGGAGCTCTTTGGAGACAAATAAGATTAAGTCCCAGTTTGTCCTTCCTCCTCCTGCTTGCAGAATACTGAGCTGTGCCTGTTACAGGATTGATTTAATTTTAATTTGCATAAAATTATATCGAATAGCAGCCGGTAAAAGGTCACAGAGAAGACACGAAGTGTGTTTTAAGAGCAGCTCGTTTACTTTCACTTCTTAAACTCATTCATTCTCAGTGCTGGGTGCTCCAGAAAAAGCAAAAGCAGAGCGACTTGGGGAAGATTGTTACCTGGCAGCGGCTGTGTTACAACACAACTGAGCAGCGTGGGGAAAACGCACAAGATCCTGAGCTTACACAACAGTTCTGCAGAGATGAAAAATCCATACTGTGCTAATTCTATAAGAGGAAAGAAAAAGAGGGGGAGAAGGAGAGAGAAAGGAGGAACGAAGAAGGGAGGGAGGAAGACGCAGACAGGAAGGAGGGGGCCAGTTGGCTGCGCTCCCCGGCATGCCTGCTGTGTGTGAGAAAGCAGCTGTGGCCTACTGAGGATTACATAACATACTGAGACACATACGCACTGGCGTGCACGTACGCAGACACACGCACGGCTGCGTATGGATGCTTATAGATATTCACACATTATCTGCAGATTCTCTTTTGTCACTTCATCCTCTTTCTGTCCTCATCATGACCTCTCCAGAGGCAGACACAGACGTCACCACGCTGATGTATCTCTCTGGCCTTGTCCACAACTTTAACAACTTAGAGCTGAGTGACTTTTTCCTCATGGAGGCCTCAGCCAAGGCACAAGAAAAACTCCAACTATCTGCATCTGTGCTTCTTCCTCTGAACACCGTACCCTCTTCTTCTCTGACTGTCTAACTGCGTGTGCTCGTCGCTCCTGGGGGTGGGGGGGTCGTCCAGCCCACTGGACTGTGAAATGCGAAACCCTGCAGCGGGGAGAATGTGCGTGCTCGGCAACTTCCCCCACCTCTACGCTCGCCAGTCAACCCCCAGATGGAGCTGATGCTGCCGCCGCTGCTCCTGCTTGGGAAATGTGTGTTATTGAGTCGCGAGCAAAAAGTGGATGTTGAGTGAATGCATCTGAGCACGTGGGTTTGCATATGGAGGTCGCACCGGAGCGTCATGCCGCTCCTTCCACACTTAGAAACACAGATGCCACGTACAATCTGTCCACATCCACATATAGAAGCCCATAATGCACCATGCAGACATTTTCGCTTGGGTAGGCATCAGGCACTCAGTATACGTGTGTGTACATATGAGTGTGTGTGTGTGTGTGTGTTGAACCCCTAAGGCATAATATATGTGCTTGGAGGGTATGGAGTGTGTCCTGAGGTCAATGACAGACAGCCATTTGTGGTGTCCTGTTACGTCCTACCCATCAGGGTCAAGTGCTGTGGATGAGGGCACGTCATCAGCTGAACCTAAAGGCAGCTGAAAAAAAAAAAACCTATCACATCAGGCTGAAATTCAATCCAGATGTTTTGTCTTTTTAAGGTCCGTATCTAAATGCTCTGAAGATGCTGATGAATGTTTGATGGTGAAGCCAAATGTGGTTTTACCAGAGAGAATGCCAGTTTAGAAAGGAGCATAACAAGCACTGGAAATCGCAGCCAAGATAAAAAAAGCCATTTCTGTTTGTATAAAGATGCAAAATAACACGTGTACTCTTTGCTTTGAAGGAAAGTGGGCTCCACAAATAATGAGCGAGTTCTGATCAGCTCTGCTTGTTCTAAATCCAACCCAGCGCTGCTGTTTGTTCCAACTCTGAACAACCAACTGTACTGGGATTTGGAAGCGAGACAGCACAGTTCAGTTTGGCACCATTAGGTTCAATAATGGAACAAATAGCAGCCTCAAATGTACCATCTGCAGACCTCCAAAACACTTTCCTCCTTTTCTGCTCCCCATCCTCCAATAACCGCCTGAATCATCCCTCACAGACACCAACAGGGGACACAGTCTTCATTCTTGTCATCGCATCTGAGGGAGCCATTTAGGGGCCGGCTACAACAGCCTCCTATCTCACCATCACAGCCTATAAAAGCATCAAATTCTAAATTGTGCCTGGAACACAGAGGGGATTGCTCAAACTCCGCGTCCCCGGCTGGAGACAGAGCTTTTAAGGCGAGTCACTACTCATAATTCCTGTATTCAGGCGAGCCTCGGTGCCATCTTCATATAACTACAATGAACACACAGATCGCTTTGCCAAGAACATGTCTGTGCTGCGGGGGTTTCAAAGTGTGGGGCAACTCATAATCCTTGTGCTCGGAAAGGACACAATGCAATCTTCTTATCCCGAATAAGGGTTGTTTCCAAAAAACCGTCTTTGATATTTACTCCAGTGACTTGTAATGGGACACGAGGCTTCAAATGCTTTGAGTCAAAGCCAGCAAATTGGTTGAAAAAAGTGTTTTTACACCATATGAATGATATTTCTAGCAATTTCTTGAATTATTTTGCATCAGAATTATGATTTTAAAGTAATCTATGCACTGACAATGACACCTTTTCTAAAATAGCTTAAAATGAGTCAGCTTCCCTCTCCAATGATGTAGATATATTGATGCTATTAGGCATAAATGTGTGACTATTGTTAATGAGTCTATGCATTTACCCTAGACTGGAGGGTTCACCTCTAAAATCTGACATTTCACATGTAAAAAGGGGCATTTCCTCATGGATTCACAGCATGCAGCTGCTAAATGAGAGCAGGTATCTGCTTGGTTCACACTAATAAAGCCTCTATATTCATGAGACAGTGACTGTTAAACTTCATGACGATTGTTTTTTCAATTCCAAAATGGACGTTGTTGTCTCAGGGAGAATAAGCAGCAGACAGTCGCTCCAGTCAAAGAAAACTGACATATCCAGAGCTTTCCCAGCCTTTTGCCTGCACATGGAGCTAGCTCTCTCTCTCTCTCTCTCTCTCTCTCTCGCTCACTCTCTTCCATTTGCATTAGGTATTGATTTTGATATGCAGGCTGTGGGTGAGAAGCAGGAGAGAGACATGCACTGCATTTGGTACAAGTGGGCCCGTGCAATTTAAAATCCACTGACAGTGAAGGCAGGGAGTTGGGAGACTTGTTATGAAAAGATGCGTCGGTGGCTTAACAGTAGGATGCCAATTAGGCTGCTTGGCCACAACGAATGGATCCGCGGTCACGCACCGGTTTCTCTCTCTCTCTCTACCCCTCCACCCCCTCCCTCTCTCCCTCCTCCTCCTCCCCCGTGTAGCAGAGAAGTGGGGAAAAACTGAAGCTCCTATTGCATGAACAATACCGGCATCAAATTTCCATGCAATGATTTTTTTTTTTTTTTTTTTTTTTTTTTGCTCGGTCAGTCAAGTGCAGCATGGAAAGCATCATCACCGGCAGCAGCAGCAGTAATAACAGCAGCAATGCAGGTGGGCTGATGGCTGTGTGGCTCTTATTTGGGCTTGGGTATGGACAAAAAAAGAAAGTAACTATAAAGATAACAATTTAATAATTAAAAAAATAGTATTTCTACAAATAGGATTAAGATTTAAACCAGTTACGACGTGTGGAAAATTCACAGCCATAACCAACGCAAACACAGGTATAATAACACACTTTCCACTGTGGATTTCTGGACTGATATCAGCAGAGAAGAGCGATATGTGACTGTGGAGTAAAAGAGCAGTAATGGCCGTGTAAAGTGCCGGTGCCCCCCCCCCCCATCCATCACCATGTGGCCGCGTGGATCCTGGAGCTTTTCTCTCAATATTCATCCACTGAAGTTGGATGAAGGAAGTGTGTGTGTGTGTGTGTGTGTGTGTGAGAGAGAGAGAGAGAGAGAGAGAGAGAGTGGGGGTGGAAAAGAACATGCAGATGACAGTTTTTCTTCTCCTACACTGCCTTCGCACATTTCTTTTTTTCACCACTGCATTTAAAGATGGTACAAAGCCAGACATGTTAGGATATCTATTATGAATAAGAGAGGGGACTTCTCTCCATGCAGGGGGGCTCACAACTCAGTAATATGAGGGATGTAGATGTATTATTCACGACCAATTCAGTCCCTATTATGGGATTCGGGTCTTCATCTTCCCAAATTGCATTTGACAGCTTTATTACGCGCCGGCGTGCGCTCGCATCTTATCCACTTTGCCATCTCTCGTAAAGAAATGTCAGATATACGAGTGATAAAAACGCATTTCACCTCCTCATTTGTCCCTGTACTCCCTACGTCCGCGCGTTTAGGGGGGGGGGGGGAAAAAAAGTTGACGCCTGCATCCCTGGGCGCGTGTGTGAGCACAAATCGAGCGAGAGGAGAGATGTGCGGTGGAAGCTGCTGCGGGGTGAAGGATGCACGGCGGCTGGGATTGAAAGTTGAGACGTGAGCCTACCTGCTGCCAGTTTTCCTCCAGCGACGGCATGGCAGAGAAGTAGCCGGTGTCGTGAACGAGCTGAAGTTCCTGAAAGATACTGTGGTTCGCCAAGACATCCATGCTGACGCTCGGTGATGGAAAACAAGGATGATCCACAAGAAATATGCCTCCTTTCTTGGCTGTGTCAGACCTCTACATCCACTTCTTTCATATTAGTCCAGAAGAGGAGATTAATTGCTCGGTGTAGCGGCTGAAAACGTGGCGGTTAAGCTCCCTGTACCTGCGCGCATTATCGGAGTCGGTGCGTAAAAGAGACTGGAGGTGATGGAGGCTCCATGCGTATCCGTGTTGCCAAAATAGACACTGATAGGGAGCCGGAGGAGGGGAGGGGCTTGGTAAACGAAGGGGCGTCGTTTGGTTTGTCAATCAACTCCCCTGCTTGTCCATTTAAGGCAAATGGGCGGCGGAGGAGTCATTAGTGAGGAGGTGGAGCATGGAGAGGCGGGGTTAGACGGATTCAGCGCGCCGGATTGGCTCCGGTGTCACGTCACTCATGCCAAATATGGGCTGGATAGGTGAGCTATTTATGGATGGGTATATTAGATTTGGAAAAAAGTCTGAAAGGCTAGTCTGAGAGGAGAAGCCATGGTGTAAACATCATGTGCTCACAAATAGGAGCTGGAAACAGTATTAATAGGCTGTTATATTGTTCCACTGTGTAAATATTTAATTAGAATGAATGCAGGATGAGGCATTAGGCTATAGGAAAAATACAATCCTCTATAGAGACTCACAACGTGCTTTAATAATGAGTTTACACTAAACTTATCATACTTAATCTCCTCTATGTACACTGCATTATTAAATATTGTGTGCAAGCTTTTCCATAATAAATATTTATTTTTAATGTCACAGCAGCACTGTAGTCCATTAAGGGGACGTCCTCACAAGTTGTTCACTGAGGTTAAAAGTTGTATTTTCATATTAACACGTGGCAGGCGAGAGAACTATTATACTGACCCACATTGATAAAAATCTGCCTCAGCACTTCCTACATGCAGCTCATGTGCTGTTAGTGAAGAGGGGTGAAAAAAAGTCCAGTGTGTGTGTGTGTGTGTGTGTGGAATGATAAATAAGAGGCCAAATCTTCCTCCGAACGTCTTGTTTGGTGGTGAGTAATGCCGCTTATTCGCTCGCCCCGTGTAAGCCATTGAAATTGTATGCTTCCACGCAGGCTCAATAGTATTCTCTCACTGTCTCTCTCTCTCACACACACACACACACACTCTCTCTCTCTCTCTCTCACACACACACAGTGTTGTAGAGGTCTGTAATCTCATTACAGTGCTTGGGGAGGCTGGCCGAGGGCCCCGGCTATGCGATTTACACATGGCATTTTGGGAGGGAGAGCTCAGCTCAGACGGACGAAGAAGCTCCCGCTGACATTTATCCATTGGACACAACTCACTCTGCCCCCCCCCCCCAGTCTGACTCTCATCTTCTCCTTTTTATTTCTCATCTTTGATATCCCTCCTCTTTTTCTGCCACCCTCCATCCATCTCTCAATCCTTCTATATAATCCTGTACCACAGTCAGTGTTTGGCTATCTGTGTTTTCAGCAGGAACGATGTGACAGACAGAAAGCACATGACAGAGACATGAATGCAAACATCAACGGTTGCCATGTGCGTCGCAGGTCAACTGATAAAAAAATAAATAAAAAAAACAGAAGAAGAACAACAATCCAGCAGGCCTGTGTCCTGTTTATCCAGTCATCGCATGGATGAGTGAAGTGTAAAATATTTAAGAGATAAATCCTGATATTTTAATGCGTTGTTCATGCAGCCCCTTGGATTATAGAAGAGGCGACAGAAAGGGGGAGAAGGCTTTTATTCTCTGCTAATTGAAACCATTCAAAAAGGGAAATATTTGAATGTACTGCATGTTGTATACCGCATCGCTTCGCAAAAACTAAAGTATTCAGATCAAAAGAGCTTGTATGTTGTATGTTGAGCTGCTGTGAACCATCTTAATTTAAGTTTTGGATGGGAAAGTCTTACTGATGAAGGTACACAAAAAACATTATAAATTCGATTTTCAAGCATTTTTCCAGGTTTCCTGTTGAGGGATTCTTTTTTTCCCAAATGTCGCATATGAAAAAGTCAGTTTTTGTCTGTGCAGATCTTTCAAACAACCATGTTAACGTCACAACAAAGTACCAAGAACATCCCGTAGCTTCGTGGTTGGACCGATGCTCAACATGGAAGAGTTTATATGTGTTAAGCTTTGTTCATATTTCTTCCATTAAAGGGTTGAAACCGAGTTTGTATTTCCACGTTTTGCACCCTGAGTGCACATTACATTCATTGAAAAAGCTGAGCGCAAATTGTGTTGGCGTCGTGGTGGATTGTTTGCTGACACAGAAACTTTACATTCCCAGTAAAACAGTGTTTCAAGTTGAAGTCTGTGACTCGGAGCAGATGCAAAGTGCAGCAAAGGTAGCATGGAGTTCAGATACACTGAGGTCAAAAGTGTAAAGTCTCCCAGTGAAACCCCATTACACCCACTACAGAAACTTTTGATTGTATTTTTTCAACACCGTCTAATCTTTTGGGACCTAAAACAGCCAAATTGGTGAATTCTGACTAAGAAAAACACAAACAAACCGACTTTAAAAACCCGCCCTGTGTCATTCTCGCGTGACTGTAGAATCAATACTCCTCAGGTATTTGAGTTGTTATGCAGTGAAAGTGTCGTCAGCTGATTGGGCAACTTGTAGGGAAATATATATATTACCTACTGAAGTGATGAAGTGATACTGCGATGGCAGTCAGCCAGCAAACTGGCAAGTCTTCTTAATTTGTCAGAAGCAGAGTATGAAGAGCGTATATACATCTTTTTTTTTTTCATAACAGCCCATATACAGAAAGTGACAGTATGGATTTCTACATTTAAAGTGAAAATGATGTAACATTGAGTTCTGAAATTCTTATATTTCTCAACATATAAAGCTTCTTCATGAATAAGCTACAACAAATGTAAAGCATATGTTTGCAGCAGTTTAGCAGTGCCTATAGATACCACACTAAATGAACATTATGACTGACTTTAAGACACTTTATATATGGCGCTGTCAAATGTTATGGGTATTTTCTTTTCTACAATTTTGAGGCATAATCTTCCCATTTAAAACTTATCTTCCCTTTTATTAACATCCACACTTGTTTCAAGCAAGTCCCTGAAATTGGTGAAGCTGCATAGACAGAAATGCATTAGTTGTACCACCTCACTGTCATCATTGGGAATTAGCAAAAGTGAAAGCCTCATCTTCGTGCCCCTTCTCTGACGTGTACCCCCCATACACCTCCTCCTCCTCCTCCTCTTCCTCCTCGGCCTGAAGCCCCATGCATATCATAGATAAAAAATAAGTGCTCACCATTATCCGTGGGCACACAGCGTTATATTGTGGATGCTGACATTGCTCTTACCTGGCAGTTGGTGCTTTTACTATATTAATAATGGAGCAGGCACCATCCATCATGGGGATATGAGGCTGCTAATCATGTCAGCTCCCTGCATATTCACTCCTTTCATCAGAAGTGGAGGAGAGGTAGTGGGAGAGAGGCAGAGGGAAAAGAAGGAAAAGAGGGAGAATTGACGGTGAGAGGAGGAGATAAACAAAGAAGGGAAATAATAAAGGGAAAAAGAGAGGAAGAGAGGAGGGAAGAGAGAGATGGAAGGGGACAATATCAACGTGCTGAACACATGACAGATGCCCTTGGCCTTTTGCTGAATGGCTTCCCAGTTGGCAGGAGTTAACCAGTGTATTTAAACAGGACAAGACGAATGGGACCTCTGCTCCCCCTGCTCACTGAACCAGCCCATTTCTATTCCAGCTCACAGCCTTCCCCCATGTGGGAATGCTAATATGGTTAGCTGACATTGCCAGGGTTAAAACTTCATAACGGCATTTCATCGCAGTATTCACTTTACTGTAGCTCCCCTATTTTTCAAAACCTTCTCCTGTGAACTTCTGCTGAGGCAAGTCGGGTGCTTCCTGGCGTTTTGTGCTGCTTGACGCGGCGCAAAAACAAACATTCTGGGATCATTTGCACCGTTTCCGAAGCAGTTTCACTTGGTTTTGAGCAGAGGACCTGATCGCTCCGCTCTAACGTCACTTAACTGAGCTGCAGAATGTTCTTAAACAAGTCGATTTGATTGAAAACGGCACCTCGTGTTCGCAGCAAGCTAACCTCTCCACCCATTAGTCTACTGCAGTCAAAGGACATTGAGTGTCAGTGCCCAGCTTTGCTTTCATTTCGCCTCATTTAGTGCAATATGACATCCACATGCCCTGATGTGTTCGGGAATAATGTTTGCACAATTATGGTGCTTTTTCTTCCCTGTTCAAATTACCTCACTGGAATATTATGATAACCTTTATATTTAGAGAAAATAAAACCACACAAATTTGCTTCCAACATCTGTCCTCGAACACGCCTCTCGCCCAGCCGTCAGCACAGACGGGGAAATTTGCTCGTGATTGATGGGCCTGGTTAAATAAAGATAAGATTTTAAAAATGTGGCCATATGTCTGCTGTATGCACTGTCTCTTTTGGCTCAGAGCCTGGATGCAGATAGTCTTCAATATCCTGACGTCTTCTTCACGCTGCTCTTCCATAAGGGGAGATCCAGGGGAGCGGGGAGAAGGTGGAGGTGCAGGTGGGGGCGACAGGCAGGGGGAGCGGAGGGGTGGATTTCAGAGCGACAGGCCGACTGAGAGAAAGCGATAATGAGCGCTCTGGGCTGTCTGGGGTGCAAACTCCTTCCCCGCGCGAGATAGCTGCAAGGGAAGGGAACAGGGAAAGGGGGGAGGGAGTGAAGGGAGTGAAGGGTGTATAGGGGAAAAGTGCCCTCTCAGCTGGGTGATGTTTGATGCGACGATGCTGCTTCCTACGCCGGGAAAAAGAGAGCGGAAACACAGCCAGTGAGGAGGCCATGAGGGGCAGCTGTTAAGTGCCAATTAGGCGACGATGAGTGGGAGACGGAAATAACCATTTGCACACACACACACACACACACACACACTCCTGCAAGCAGGCAGGGAGGAGCAGTCAGAAAGTGAAACAAACAGGGCCTAATCCCCGTCAGTTTTCCCAGAGCCGCTCTTCTTTTCACCCTCTAGCTCCCTCCCCACTGTTAGGTAATGTC